ACAATCAATTCACTTTACAGAACATTCTGTGAAGCGCTTTGAAGACATAATAAGGCACGATATCAACTGCAAGGACGACTATTATTATTACTATTGTGAGTAAAATCCTGGCATGCACTCCTCATGCCTAGTGAAATTCCTGTGCTAATGGCATCTCAGCTAAAGTCCGCTCCACCCCAAACAAACAAGCTGTGTTTCCACGCTGGATGGTGGGGTGTGAATGGGCTGAGGGAGCTGATGCATATCCTGCAAGGAGTCAAGGAGGTGAAACTACAAACAGAGGCTAAATGAGCGTGTGCTAAATCGTTTCAGATCCACAACAAACACAACACACAGCACTTACTCGAGAAACCTTTGAAGAGTTAAGTACTTTTTCCTCCCACCTCCTGTTTAAGCTTTTTATTTGTTCCATATGTTTTTGCCTCCAGTGTCTCCAGAATTAAAAGTCACTTGGACAAAGTAGTCCAGTGGCGTGGTCGATGTTGTGGTGGTGGGTGGGGGGGGGGGGGGGTGTCAGGGAGAAGAGAGGCTGTGGAACCAACCCCCAGCAGAAGAAAGATTAACTGTTGGGAAGATATATGAATTCCGAGCATTGAAAGAAAAAAAACCGTAAAGCAAACTTATTTTGAATGTTTTAATGAAGGAAGTAACTAAAGAGGCTTCAGGCTGCAATGTGCACTGATATTATAATAATAAACGTTGCATTTGATATAGCACCTAATCTGAGCATTTTCCCCCCAAAACAGTCACTAAGTTTACGGTAGATTCCATGAAGTGCTTTAAAACAGCTCGACAACTTGATATGGCACTATATCACACTTTGATCATATTTCCCCTTACGTCCTCCTGACGTGAAAGGTGCTTTATAAATGTAACCTGTATTGCAATTGTATATCTAATGAAAAATTATCATTATTAAGCATTTGAAACAGCTTCTATAAGGTCAATACATCGCAAAGAAATTGACAGGCACCCACAGCAACCAACTTGTGCACAGCAATAGTGAATGACCAATTGTATCTGAGTAAGTGGGAGGTAAAGGCACCACACATACACCTAAACACTTGCCCGTCCCCTGTTTGCTCCACAACTGATTACATTGTTGTGCGCAAAATACAGTCACTACATACAAACTGGAATGCAATTCCTCGTGAAACACTTTGACGTTAAAGGCACTGTGTCAGTTTACTCTGTAACAGGCTTCAAAAGAATACTTGAGGGGGGGAGATGATTAAAAGTGTGAAATTGGATGAGAAATAGGAACAGTCACTAGTCAGGAAACAATCAATAATTAACATTGGCTCAACAACCCTCCCTCCCCTCCTTCTCTCCCTTCCCCCAGCAATTGACGCAGCCAAATGGCTAGAATGGCATCAGGGTTTTTATTTTTGGTGAATACGTGGGATTCCAGAGCGCAGCCACTTGGCTTCCCATCAGGGTGATAGATGGGGAGAGTTCACTGGACCCGGCCTGAAAGATTTACACTGGTCACAAACAAACTAAGGAAAAAAAACACTCCAGGTCAAATGGCATCTGTCATTCAGTGACTCTCTCTCCCCACCCACCCATCCCCCCTCCCCACACACACACACACACACACATCCCCTTTGAAGCAGCTCAAATCGCTTTGAATTACAAGCGTTAAGATTCCAAAGGCCTCGACTCCATGTGTTCTGTCACACGTGTGATTTGAGCACCAAAGACTTCCCTCCTCCACTCCCCCCTCTCTCTTTTCTTTCAAAGAAACTTTGTTATTGGGAAATGGAATTCCAGGTTTGGAATTCGGAATTTCTCATTACAAAACCTCTTTACACCAACAACAATGCAGTAGCTTTGGGTTATCTCAGGCACTGTACTGCATGGACTTGTGTGTGTTTGTGTGGTGGGGTGGGGGCTGTTGTGGGAGGAGAAAGAGATTGAAAAACAAAGGGGAAGCCTTTTCCCTTTGTTCGAACGACCAGGGTGGAATCCTCTCCAGAGGCAGAAAATGCCAAGAATTCCCATTCGAATCAATGGAAACTGACCACGGTCTCTTTGGGTGGGAGTGGGTTAAAAGTGACAGAATCAAACGTAAATGGGGACATCAAAGATAAGGCGGCTTTGCGTCTTTTGTTGTTTGTCAAACAAAGGAGAACCCATTTCCCATATGTAAGCAGCTTCTTTATGAAGCAGATCCTCCTCGTGTCCTGACCAACAAATAAATGATTATTCATTTCATGGCTGTTTGTGGGACATTGGCTGCCATGTTGGCCCACAAATAATCACTATTCTGCCTGGTAAACTGTGTGAAGTTGAGATGTTTTGATGTCACAATAAGGCATTATATCGATTGCAAGGGCTATTTCATGTACCAAATGTAAGGATTCTACCCCTTATCATCAAGTGCTATAATTAGCCTCCGCACCCCTGCTGGGGTCAGAGGGAAAAAGCAATCAGCCCCTGATTACTGTTCAGAGTGATCCCTCCCCCGAACACTGCTACTCAATTTGGCTCATGAGCATGAAGCTGTAGCCAGAATCTTTAGGGGAAAAACTTCAAGAGCTATGCTTTTAGGAGGTCAGTATCCATTTGATCATACACAAATTGTTTAAAAGATAACACTGGTATAAAATTTATATTAAAGTGTCTGAATGAATTTGAGGATTCCATTTTTTTTGTTAAATTCATAAAACAATCTACTTTTTTAGGGGGGGTTGCAGATTATTTCTATCCAACGATTTTTTCCAACAACACCTTCCTGTTGTGTTAGTTATATAACTCATATACTTGGTATCATGCATATCATTGTGGGAGGACGTATCAAAGCACTTCACAGGATCTAATGCAAAGTGAAGACTGAGTCTTTCTTGGGGCAAATGATTTTGTTACACTAAATACACAACATGCTGCTTTGGAGTCTGGATTCTAAAAATGGTCGCTATAGAAAAAGAAAAGAAGTGCTGCTCAGAAGAGGCCAATTCATGGGAATAGCAGAAACCAGAAGTCTGAAATAGCACCAAGTCTTAACTTGTAATTGCACAGAATTGTGGAAAATTCTTAAAATTCAGGCTGAATTTGAACATTTCCTTTTTAAGAACTGCAAAAATCAAAACATGCTCTGGCTTCCAACTGAGAATTTTCCAGAATTTCAAGCAATTTTAAGACAAAATGGAGGTGGAGATGAAAGGCTCCTTCCTAATACCAAAATGTTGTTTACCTTTGCCATCTCCGTCTACTCACGCTCTCTCTCCCCCACCCCAGCAAAGTATATGCCTGATGGCTGTATCAAAATGGGGAGAGAGGGAGGACACATTTTCCAGTTGCCAATGGGTTGGGCCCCCATAATGGTGCAGTTACCATGGGCTCTGGTCAACTGCACCACTGCAAGGCAGAATGTCAGGTCTCTAGTTGCAATCTCTGAAGAGAGCAAGATGGGAGGTAGCAAGCTCAGTTATATACAGGCTGCTGTTATAGCCACAGGAAGGTGGATGGATAAATTAGCACTCAGGATAGCAGCAGTGAAAATAACAAATATGAAACCAATAGGCTACAATATTTAGTGGTAAAGGAGTTTAATGCCCTTTGAGTAGCCTAGCCTCTCCAGTTTTCTGGACAAAACATCTTTTTTAGTAATGTTAGCTTGACTCAGTTGGTAGACTCTCACCTACAACTCGGGTGTTTGGGCTCAGGCCCTATGTCAGGATTTTGAACTAGGTTGATACTGCAGGGCTAGTGGTGTGTTGCATTGTTGGGAGGTACCATCCTTCGTTTAAACCGAGATTCTCTGCCTATTCAGGTCGACATAAAGGGACTATTTGAATGGTGAAAGGAATTGCTCCTAGTGTCCTGGTCAACAGTCCCCCAAATGAAATTGGCTGTTCACTTCACGCAAGATATTGCTGTGTGCAAAGTGGCAGACATATTAGTCTACAAAATACAAGGTCACTACACTTTAAAGTATGTGCATCAGCCTGGCTCTTGGGAGGTCCTGCTGACGTGAAAGGCGCTACACAAATATAATTTTGTTGTTGGCTCAATGGTAGCACTCTCACCTCTGACTCAAGGTATGGGTTCAAACCCATTACAGAACTTGGAATCACATTGTCTGAGCGTGTTGCACTGTTGGGAGTTGCTGTTCTTCGGATGAGATGTAAAAGAAGGTCCTGTCTGCCTGTTCAGGTGGACATTAAGAGACCATGGCACGATTTGAAAAGAGAAAGGAGTTTCTCCTGGTGTCCTGGCCAACAATCCCTCCCACCTACCAATAACATTAATCACTCACTCCATTGTTTTGTGGGATCCTGCTATGCGCAAACTGGCTGCCACCTTTCACCCACAAATATAGTCCATCGTGAAGTGCTTTTAAAGATGTCTCAACGACATAAGGCGCAATATCTAATGCAAGGATGATTGTATCCTGGGACAGAAGGCTGTCTAGAGGGAAGACTCAAATGTGGTACTGAATTGAGTAACGCATTGTCCATGATGTATCCCTTTAAATGAGATGTTAAACACCAGATCTTATTTCTCCGTTGCATAACATCACACCCCTTCTCAACATACAAGTGTGGTCACCAAGTAGTCTGTCACTTGATGCAAAATGTCAAGCCAGAGGCTGGCATGGTATCAATGGCCATTGTGGAGGGCTTGTGCCAGTTGAAGTAAGTTGAGGTTGAGCAGGCAGCAATTAAAGTGGTTTGTTGCCAGAGTTTAAAGACACTCAAACGACATTATTTCCTTGTAATAATTTTCTGTGTTATATCCTCACATCAATTATGATGATGCATTATCTTCAAATGTCACTACCTTAACTTTTAACCACATGGTTTCTGACCATACAAGCATTAAGAAATTTGATAGCACAATAATTTAAGTTCAAGCATCTCAGATGTTGCCCACAAATCACTTTCTTGTGCCTTATGGTTCTGGAACCACTACGGATAAACCATTTGACGTCTGCAAACTTCCAGGATCACAATTCTATACATTAATGCAAAGAAAAATCACACCAACCAGAACGCTTTAATTGTAAACAAATTTTATTGAACTTTCATCCAGATAAAATTGCACAAACATCAATTTAGGCTTTCAAACACACAGGAGTAAGAAGTGTTCCAGGTCAGTAAACCTCATTCTTTGGTGCAGAGGCTGAGTCTTACAATTCAGAGGTAATTATACATGAAAAAAACATTACCCGTCACCTTATAGTAAAGAAAACCCCCGGGGGATTTTTTTTTATTTTAAAAACAAACTTTTCTGGTAGTCTATGACCCCAATTTTTGCTCCCCCTCTAGCAGTGGTAACCACTGCCAAACATTAAACGCTGGGTTGTTGCACAACAGTAACTTAAACAATACTGGTCGGAATCTTTAAATACAGGAAGAGGCTCCATCGTTTTGAGGCACTTGTCTAAGTTTAAGAAAGGGCCTTTGACCACTTGCACCAGACATGTTAATGCTAACCCCTTAATCTAGAACAGTTAGACTACAAAGTTAAAATCAGCAAAAGAAAAAACACAGGCAGAGGCAGTAAGCAAAAAACATTTCTTCCAGGACTCAATAGAACTGGGTTTTATTGTATCGTTGCCTCCATGTAAAATAATCTGAGCCTGGAACTTAGTTTCACTGCTTTTAGAAAACAGCAAAGACTTTTAGCTATATATTAAGTCTTCTCAACCAGAATTTCTGGATCTTGGACCAGACACTTAAATTCTCAAGAATAAATTTTGAATAAAGTCTGCTTCACTAGTGGTTTGAAACCCAGTTTCACAATATAAAAAAAATTAAGCACTTCATAAAATCAGTTCACAAATTCAAACAAAATGTTAAACAGCACTTTGGGGATGATTCACTGTCAATTGGGGTTACATTTTTTGTCAATGAAAAAGCCAGATCCTTTGTCCACATTCAGCAATGTCTAACCAGTGTGTGAAACGGGTCACCACATTTCTCAGCATCATTCTGTTCTGAGGAAAGGGTTCACTAGGGCAAAAAAGACCAGCAAACTTAAAAACCATAAACTTCAAATACCCTCAGTCACCAAATGTCTCTTTCCAGATGGATTAATGGGGCTTCACATTGACAATTCAATTATCTGTAGGACCAACTGTTCTCATTTACTATCCCAAACTGACTTTACCACGTGTAACTTCCTCCCATCCCCCAGATACATGAAAGCAACTCATTCTCAACACAGCTTAAAAGTAACAGTTCCATTTTCTGCACATTTTACAGGTCAATTGAAATTTTAACTCCACAGGCAAGGAGAGGATTCCATACATAAATCTTAATACGCCTTAAAGGGAAACTCCAATCACGCAACCACATCTTACCCAATTGCCCCAAAATGGCAATACGCATTGTAACTCAGTAGTGGAGAAAAATTAATCTGATGAAATTAATTTGGCAAGTTTGTTGTGCATCTGCATGCGAGTGAAGTTCTGACTGAAAGACTCAATAATGGTCATTCAAACCAGAGCGACAACTCAAAAGGGTACAAACATGCAGAGTGGAAGGGGGAGACGAAAGAAAGGTTGAAATATATTCCAGAATATGTTGCTGGTGGGGCAGGGGAAGAGAAGAGAAAAATTATTCTTGGAATTTCTCCCTCAAATGGTATCTATCAGTCACTACTCAAGAGGAATCAATACAGAATGGCCAGGACAATCTTTCATAAACAGAATTTAACTAAGAAAGCCTCCGTGATGGAAAGGGGGAGGTATTTCCGAGATCACGATTAAGAGTTTACAAGTTAAATGTAAGTGTTTTATTCTACAGTAGTTCAGATTACATTACTAAAAACGAAAGTTAAGGGTGGGTGGAGCAGATCACACCAATCAGCATTAATATACTACTTTGTTTAGTGCCCTTTAGCTAGATGATTTATGAATTGCATTGAGATACTGAAACACAAAAAAACCTGCACAATTAGCCCTGGTACAAGCTGTTCACCCAAAGGCCTTAAAAGCAGTTTGGGCTCCAACATGAGGTAGTTTTAAGCTGCTGCGGACAGAAGCACCGAGGTAGACAAAAGTCATTACCAGCCAAGGCACCAGAACTACTCCTTGCATCCCCTTACCTTCAGAGACAGGGGATCACTTCCCTGAGATTTATGTATCATTTAGATCCCAGTCTCTGAAATATTGGCTTCATGGGTTCTGCAAGGTGATCTGCGATCGGTTCAGGTTTATTTGAGGTAAGGTACTATGGCTGATTTTAAACTAAGAATTGCGAACATAATCCATTAAGCACTTCTAGAAAACTATCTTGTACCTGCATGTGGGGCTGGATTAAATGGTTTTCTGGGAATTCTCAAGATAAACAAATATGGTGGGGGTGGGGGGGTTCCAATTACAAAACTACATTTCATACCTCAAATTAAATACAAAAAGTTATGCAGGTTGTGGCAACCATTTGAATTGAACAACACAATCAACAAAGGAACTTGAAAATAAGTGTTCCATAATCACCTTTCAATTTTAAGAAGGCCACCACAACTTTTCAGATCAATAACTTATAACTCATTAAAACCAACAGGTTCAAAAGCATCATTCCAAACACTACATTATGCTCCTTGCTACAAGATGAAGTATTTCACTGAACAGGATGTTCGGACTGATCACTCTAGAGCAGGTTGGTCCAACCTCTTGGCTGCTGAGGGCCAGATGCCCTAATTGAGAAACATCTACATTTTTGCATTTCCCTTCCAGAAGCATAAGATTTACAGGTTATAGAGGGCGCGGATGGGCCAGATGAAATGAGGGGGGGAAGAGCCAGATTAAATTGGCCCTTGGGCTGCCAGTTGGACCACCCTGCTGTAGAGGATGAAGGACACATCGTGCTTCACATTAGCAATTCAATATGAAAAGTTTGCCACACAATCAATCCAAAGCACATTACTGGATCAGAGGTCTTAACTGCAACTGTTCTGGCTAGCTATAATGAATCACATCAACAGATCTTAACCACTGGCATCTAGGAAACCACTCTGAACACTTTGGTTTTAATCAGGGGCTCACCCCTTTGTCAATGTTTTGAAGTATCCATTCCACAGGATTTTGATCTGAAACTTAATTATAACCTTCTCTCTGCCAAAATGGACTTCCATTTGGTCTGTAAACAAACATTTCTTTTGAAGAATTATATAGTTTTGTAAAAAAACATAAGGCTTAATGTTGAAACTATGTTCTGCATTTGACTTCAGTGTTTTTTTAAAACACACCCCAAGTGGGACTGCCAAGAAAATAACTTGATAGTCAAAGTGTGTGCTTGCCTTGTTTTATAAAGTTGTGTTAAGAAAAATAATAGCTTCAAGAGACAACATCCCCTTGAGGCAGCCCATCCAGAGCTGAAATCACATAAACTTTAAAGTCAAAAAGGATACAGCATTCAAGTTATAGGAACTAAACTTCATAAGATTTTTTTTAAACTGTTATTCTAAAGAAACATTACAATGCAAAAAGGTGGGGCAAAAAGACGGGGATTCCTTAGTGTAAGGTTATTTTAATCTCGGCAATCATTAACCACTGCTCAATTCACAATGTGTAAATCAAAAGCCATTCTATACTACAACAATCTAACCAAGTCAGAACAAACGGTTGTGAGCAACCCAAAGCAGTACATTAACGAGCTTCCATCAAGAAAGCTTTGCAGACCCATTAGACAACCCACCCACCAGTCAGACAGGATGCCAAGCCTTGAAATAAAGACTAGTCAATGTTAAAAAGAGAGATTTTCCAATCTCATCATCACATTAAAATTTTTTTTTTTTTTTAAAAAGCAGCAAGAAATTTAGACATTAGCTTCTTCCAATTCTTTTCTGCCCCGTCTTCTGCAGACGCCTCCAACAATCACCAAGTTATCTGCTGCTCTGCTTCGTGATCAGGTCCTTAATCTCAAATTCTCCAAGATATTCCTCATTACGCTTGGGTCCCCCACACCCCCCATCATCACCACCAAATTGAGATTTTACAACCAAGCAACTGGTAAAAACAAACAAATCGGAGGAAGTTTGAGCAATGTTAGTACTTGGAGCATTCATAGTTGATGGTTTCAACCCTGTGCAGAGGTTATAATGCCCGGTAAGCTCATTTCAGAGTCAGGCTGCTTAGCAACACTGATACTTTCTCAGAAAAATTCAACCAATTCAGGAGGTTACTCCAATGGGTTGACATTCAGCAAATGCACCCAAAATGGGCCTCCTGAGTCGATTTGTCACACCCTTTCGATCGGTTATTCATAGACCTAATTTGCAACAGCTTTGGGCTTTATTTTTTAAATTTTTTTAAAAATCACATTTAAAGCCTACTTCCTTACTGCAATGCAAGTGCTTGCTAATTATAACAAGGATGAAATGTTATTTTATACAGTGCGGCTGGACACAAATTTTTAAACAGTGGTGAGTGAATACTTTGAAATTAAGTAAAACTGGAATGGGATGTCAGGCACCTTTCTCTCCACCCACCCACTCCACCCAAGGAGTCTTTTAGTACATAAGGTGAGAATTGGCTATTGGAGTTGAAAAGGATTAAAGAATGTTTTCACCATTTCAGTTTCACATAAATATTCAGTGTAATTTCTGTAAATGATTTTTATGCTGCCGTTTTTCACTCGTCAAAAATACTGTGATAGTTTAATTTAGTTCTAAAAATCTGCATTTAGGAGAAGGCTGTGATTTTTGCATATTTGTTTAAAATGGCCTTAATAGTCACCTAATTGGTAATTTTTGGACGAAGGGTGAACAAAAAAANCCTAGTGAAAGATGTAGAGCTGGAAAGTATAGATTCTACCCAAGTTTCTACTCACAAAGCTATACCGTGTACATTCAGAATTTTTCTCCTGAATTCATTGGAATACTCATGGGCACCCCTATCTGCAACCATCGCCATTCCACAAGCATTGCCACTATTAGGTGCAGCGTACAGGAGGCAAATAATGCAGAAACGTGAAGAGCTGACCTGTTCGAGATGCAGGATTGGGCATGTGAAAAAAACATTCTATGCCAAAATACTTCCCACTCCATCAGTTAAGGACAGACCAGCTCTGCCTAAAATACAACAGAAATGTTAACCCCTCACACGCAAATCCACAATCCATCAATTGAGCTCTTCTGGAAGAGGAAGAGAATGGAAGAGGTTTCTTACTTAAAGAGGGGCTAGATAAGTCTGGTGCTCACTTCCTGTAAGCATATGCCAACTGTACAACTATGAGGCAGTAGCACAGCAAGCACTGATCAGTGGACTTCCGCCTATCCTGAATTCTTCCTTGCGGCTTAAATGAGACCCAAGGAAAAGCGATAGTCATTTTAACAAAAAAAATCAAACTATTCACACTTCATAAAGTAATACTGCCTCCAAGACCAAATTCAGCCTACCAACATAGTAGGAAATTGATTTTATGCAGGTCCAGCAGGTACCTGAGATAGCAGTTAACTTGAGGTAATATATTTGATTATCCCAGATGCCTCAATATACTTTTTGCAATCTTCAGGGTTATCAACTGACAATATAAGTCTTCCTTTACACAAACCCCAATAAACACTCAGAAGAACCCTCAACAACTTCTATGTTCACCATTATGTGCATCAGGCCAAAGAACATTACACCCTATATATATTTATATATAAAAAAGGAAGAGGTATTTTGTTTACATTCAGATGGAGTGTAGGGCTACATTCAGAAAGAGTGTAGGGCTAAACATACAAGATATTCAACATCAAATAATCCCTGAAAACAAAATGTATGCAGGTAGGCAGCCAAAGCCTTGACCAGTCACCCACAAATGGCCATTTTAGGCTATAGAAGTGGCCCACAATCATCATCCTACCTGAGTGTTTTTTAAATAAAGCTACAGGACAATTTTTAATACTAAGAAACAAGTCTTTGGATTCAGGTGATAAAGGCACCAATTGCCTGGATACATTTGCACAGTTCCATGGAAATCTCCAAATATTAGTCAGCCCAACATCTGCAGGCAGTGAGGTAGGTCTGCTATAAATTTATGTAGTTTTGAAGTAGTCACACAGTTCACACTTTACCGAAATGAGGTAGATGACTGCAGCACAGAAAACAAAAACCTGTCTTCTCTAGGGAAAACAATTAAGACATTGTCCCTGAGCAACAAATCCACAATATAGAAATACAAGCACACAGCATCTTTTTTTAAAACAAGAGGATACGATTGTTGCCAAAGTCGACAACTACTATCAGTCCATCTGGCATGAGAGCAATTCCGGACGGACGATCCATCTGGCCAAAGCCGCTGCCTTGGGTCCCAAACTTGCACAGGAAGTTACCGTTTGGTTCGAATATTTGGATGCGGTGGTTCCTGGAGTCAGCCACGATGATACGCCCTTCTTGGTCAATGGCCACACCCTGAGGTCGGAGGAACTGCCCGTTGCTTGTGCCTTCGGAGCCAAGGAAACGTGCCGACTGGAAGTCAGGATGGATCACAAGCAACCGGTGGTTGTTGAAATCGGTGACCACAAGGTGTCCTTCATGATTAAAAGCCACCCCACGGGGAGAATCGAAGTGCTTCCACAATGCTCCCTCAAAGCCATATTTACTTACGAAGTTTCCATCTGGACCGAACAGCTGAACTCGGTGATTACGTGTGTCGGACACAAGGATTCTTCCTTCAGAATTGACTGCAACATCCCAGGGATAATTGAATTGCCCATTCTTGCTTCCTTTTTCCCCAAACTTTAGAATAAACTGTCCCTCAAAGGTGAAAACCTGAATACGATGGTTGTCCTTGTCAGCCACGACAATTCGACAACTCTGATCGCAGGCGACTCCAGCAGGGCGGTCAAACTGGCCGGAACGGGCGCCCGCTGACCCAAACTTGTGGTGGAAGGTCCCACTTGGCGTGAACACTTGGATGCGGTTGTTGCTTCGATCGGCAATGATGATGTAGCCATCTTTGTTGACGCAAACGCCCCAAGGTCTGCAGAGCTGTCCATCTTCATCCCCTTCCCCACCAAACGAACAAATGGGAAGCCCAATACCAGCGTAGCTGCGACCTGCTTTGACCATGACTCGAAAGGGGCTGTTCTCAATGTGCTGGCCACGAATGGTGACTGAGATGATGTGCTCGCCTTCGAGGTGTGGCGAATAGCTGACTGTGTAGGTGCCATCATGGTGATCTAATACATCAGCGCGAAAGAGGCAGCCATCAGGTCCCATGACAACTACTACAACCAAATCGCCACCAGATGACCGTCCTTCACCAGTGTGATCTTTGGTCAACACAGTGAAGCTGCTCATTTTCCCACGCAATGCCCGTTTCAACCCCTCACCAGCAGCTGTTGAGACTGGCGCGTATGCACTGCTGCAGATGATCCCTAGCGACTTTATGGCTTTACAGAGCACACCATCGGGCGGAACGAAGGAAAGCGTGTCATCGTCATGGGGCTGAAGGAGATTTCTCAGCTTTTTCAAGTCCTGGATTTGGACAAACATTTGTTCCTTTGCTAGCAGGACATCCACATCCCGCCCATCCAACAGTGCTTTCTGAACACAGTCTATAGTGTTCTCCAGCTTTGTTAAATTCTCACGCAGCGCTTCCACCTGGAGGTGTAGCGTCTTGGCCTTCATCTGCCGGATCTTCTCCACCTGTGACATGAAAACAATTAGAATGGCCACCTTCTGAGCTGTATGATTTTATGAGGGAGGGGAAAGAGAGGGGGGTGGCGAAGGAGAGACGGGGGAGTGGGGCGAGGGGGGAAGGAGAGAGGGAGGGTGAAGGGAAGGGGGGGAGGAGACTCCTCCTCCACTCTAAATATCTCTCCTCCCACCCCCCTCTATCCACTACTCCCACTATGTCCTTCTCTCCCACCGCCTTCTCTCTCTCCTGGACCCCATCACCACTTCCCTCTGTTCCAGCCTGGGCATTCTCCGCTGGGCCCATCGTGGCTCCAGGCACTGGCTGTCCCAGAGCAGCAACCCCAAGTGTCGCATCATTCACTACCTCTGCACAAACCGCCTCCTAAGGCAAACACAACTTCCTCCTCCCTCATATGTACCCTCCCAACTCTCCACAGCCATCTCTTCTGTACACCCTGTATCCTGTCTCCTCCCTCTTACTCCCACCGGCAAACCCACCTGCATTTCCCTTCAAAATGTCCATTCCCTCATAAACAAAGCCCTCACCATCCAGGACCTCATCCTGGAGGAGCACCTCGACATTCTTGGGCTCACAGAAACCTGGCTCTCCCACAATGACCCTGTGCCCCTAGTTGAAGCCCCCCCCCCCCCGTCCAAACCAACGGTCGGCGGGATGGTCCTCATCTCCAAAGCTTTCAAGATCCTCACTCTTGTTTACAAATCCCTCCACTCCTCTGCACCACCTTACCTCTCTCCTCACAATACCCATTGCCTTCGCTCTACCAGGCCTGGTCTCCTCCTTGTCCCCCGCACCACCATCAGCGGCCGGGCCTTCAGCCACTATTCCCCGAGGCTCTGGAACTCCCTTCCTCACTCCCTTCACCTCGCCCCTTCTCTTCCTACTTTCAGTTCTCCGCTGAAGACCTTTCTTTTCCACCGCACGTGGAGGGCGCTATATAAATCCAAGTTGTTGTGTTGGAAGGAGGGGGGAGGGGAAGGAGAGAGGGGAGGAAATGTAGAAGGTACCTTTCTTAGTAAGTCACACTCGCGTTCCTCGAGAGCCTTCTTATGTCGCGAGGTTACTGCCTTGACTTCGGATCGAATCACTTGAGCTTTCATCTCGACTTGTTCCACCATGGCCCTGACTTTTTCTATACTGAGCTGTAAACAAAAGTTCAATTCTAAGTTCAAGTAACTCCAGAACTACAGTTAAAACATACATTAAGCAATTTGTTGGTTGCTGCTGTAGTGATCAGTGTACAAGAAAATGAAGATCCTTCAAAGTAGTTTTGGTCAGACAAACCCAGTTAAGGTCTTTAAATTTGGTTAAGACATGAAACCAAAATCTTGTTTTCTTGTTCTATTGCAAATGAAAGGTCCTTTGTTGCTATTCAAAAAGATGGTTAATAATTCTCAAGGTAATGATTTTCTTGCTTTTTGTAGGAAATTGCTGTGTGCAATTTGGCTGCCTTGTTTCCAAACAGTCACTACTTTACCATACAGTGGAGTCCTGAAGCTCAGTGGTTAGAGCACTCGCTTTGCAAGCGAGAGACCTGGGTTCAATTCCAGGCAGAGGGCGAAACCTTGGGCAAGTTTCCTTACTCCACACAGAGCCTAATAATAATCCCTCCAAAACCAAAAACAATAATAAATTGGTCATTTTCAATCTACGACTGTTTGTGGGACATTGCTGTGCGCAATTGGCTGCTGTGTTCGCCCACAAATATACAGTCAATTCACTTTACAGTGTGTTATGTAAGGGGCTTTGGGACGTCTTCCCAACGTGAAAAGCGCTATATCAAATGCAAGGATTATTATTACTTTACAAAACCTGTCCCACCTGATAACCACAAACCACTTCCAACAAGGGCCAGCTTCAATTGTTACACAACTGTTGGGTTGGAGTGCATGATAAGACTAAATGCAAATACTTTATGTCTTACATCTGGCAATGAATTACCACCCAGCAGCTATTATTATTACCAGCACCTTGGGACGTCCTCCAGGCAAGAAAGGCACTAACAAATGGAATTTTGTGTTATTATTCTATATGCAGTACAAGCAATAGTTTTATACTGCATAAGTTAGCTGCCACGTTTCACTACAAAATCCATCACTTTACAGTATATTCTGTGAAGCGCTCTGAGACGTCGCAACGATCTGATAAGGCGCTGTATCAAATGCAAGGATTATTAATTTTATTATAAATGGGCAGTGTTGCATTCTAGATTGAGAATCCCATAAAAGCAGACCATAAAGACAAAGCAGTAATATAAATTATACACAAGGCAAGTAAGATGTCTTGATGAAAAAACACCAGACCATCATGAATTAAATTTTTTNAATAATCAGAATTAAGTATCAAATTTGAATTTCAATAACAAGACACTAGTCGTTTGGAGACTTATAGCCACTGGACATGATGTGCTGGAACACCGGGCCACATTCATAACCCAAGCAGGAGGCATTGAGCATAGACCAGGAACTACTTGATAGTGAGGAATAGGAAAGTCAGCAGGGAGGATTGCCTAAGGATTCTTCATCTTCTCCCACCACATGTTTTCAGAAAAGCAGAGGAAGCTGCTTTACTGCCCTCAACTGTGGCTTGTGTGGCTCTGGGAGGCCGAAATAATCGTTAATCTGGACAAAAGCCAAACCCCCACCCTCAGAACAGCCTTTTTTTAAAAAAAGCTCCCAGATGTTAACGTACAAAACAGCGAGTCCAGGATATTTAGAATGGAAGCATTACTAGGATCAGGCCTGGATGGTCAAAAGCATCTTTGAGCTGCCCCCGTTTCATTAATAGTAATAGACTCCAAATTGCATTGCGGAAATATTTGAATATTATTAACATTTCTTAAACATGAAATTGCAGCTTTTCTTTACACAACCACCCTGAAAGTCATTCAATGTCCATCCACAAAAAGGAACAGAATTTTGTAACATTAACAAACACTGCAATTTCTTATTTTCATAGTAACCGTGCAAGGGGTTAGGAGTGCACATTTGTTGCACCATAAACGGTCAAATATGCAATTATTCAGCTATGCTGAATTTTACTGCCACTCAACATGCAATGAATTTTACATTTCAATAATTTCTGTTTGTACATAAGAAGCCAATTCAGCTTTGAGACCATTCTACCAGAATTTTTTTTAAAAAACAAACGGTTTCCAATGTGCTTGGGTAAGAACTCGTTTGAATGGGTGGTAAAGAATTGCAGTAGCTTAGTCCCATGTTCTTGCATTTTCCTTCTAAATGGAAAATCTAAATGCATTTTCCTGCATAATAATAATAATCCTTGCATTTGATATAGCGCTTTTCACGTCGGGAGGACGTCCCAAAGCCCTTCACAGAACACACTGTAAAGTGAATTGACTGTATATTTGTGGGCGAACGCGGCAGCCAATTGCGCACAGCAATGTCCCACAAACAGACGTAGATTGAAAATGACCAATTTAATTATTGTTTTTAGTTTTGGAGGGATTATTATGTTCTAAATCAGAAGTTCCCAAGCATTTTTGCTGCCCACCCCCCCTTCAGAGATTCATGCTCCCCCAAGAAACATTTTTGCATAGAATGAAGATTTTTATTTTCTCAGCTAATAACATACTGCCACTCTACTACTGAATAAACTTAAGTACATTTCATATACCGTTCCCTAGCTCTAGGTCAACTTTTTTTTCACAACACATTTACCAAGAAAAGCAGCTAACAGTATAATAAAATACTTACCACTGTAACATAAATACACTTTCCTCCCACTCCGACTCTTACGGTCTTTCTCAATGCAGAGGTTACAAATACTTGCAGTACCAACATACTTTTACAATGATACACTAATATTTATAACAGGTACTAATACTTCCCGTAAAATAAGAAATAACCCCTAAAGAGGCCATATTTAGGTGCTGCATGCATATTACTAAATAGGGGGCATAGGGAAGGGAATTTCAAACATTCCATCTGAAGACCCTTCCACCACAAAGCCTCATTTGCGCATTGTTGGGTTCTCTCCCGGCTTTGTGCTGCACACTGTAGCCCCACTGCATTCCTGCACTCATCTAGGTTCTCCGCCACTGGTGCGCACTCATCTCAGCATTGGAAAAAGCCAGCAACCAGGTGGCAACCCTAACACACCCCTTCAATAGCCTTGTTGCTCTCCTACAAGCCCCAGTTTGAAAACTCATGTTCTAAATTATTCAATCCAATGCTGCCCAACAAATTATTGCTAGCAACGTTGGCTCAACAGCTACTTATTAACAGCCCACCACATCCACAGCATTTAAAGATCTACCGCATCATTATGCACTACGTACAATACACACAAACCCCCATGGAAGAAGTTTAAAATGTGCTCTCTGAAAAAAGTAGATTCAAGTCATACTGGTGTGACAAGTTAACATCACACCCAGCTGTGAAAATTGCATGGGTGTTGAAATGGAACAGTTGAGTAAATTCCAAAAGGATCAAATTAACTTTGGATGAAGTCAGCCAGAAAGCACCAACATTGAATGCCAACAAGCATTAGAGAGAACAGGTTGATAATCTCAATTTACCACTAGGCAAATTAAGCACGTTTATTTTTAATCTTTACAGTTTATATCAGAGGCAAGAATGCTTACTATTGTGATTTGATCTGGGGTATTCAGGGACTATTTAAAATACCAGTCGAATGGTAAAGGACACATAGATAGATCGGAAGACTCGACTGTATAACTTCAGTAGTTAGAGAAGTACACCACATCAAGATCATATTCCTGCAAGATGAAAATGCAAGGAAGGGCGGTCATGCCAGATGCTAGGTGTCTGGAGATAAATGCTGGGTTTAGATCTTCCTGCAATAGCAGGAAGAACACTGTAAAAATTACACAAGGCAACATGCCTGCCACCACATTATCAAAACTACCGGTTTCAATTCCAGCTTCACCCCCATCCTCAGGAACTCCATCCCAGTGTCCCTCCCTTCACCTCACCCCCTCCATTGCCTCCTTTAGGGTCATCCTACCACATCCTTAAAATGCTGGCCCACAGGAGAAACTCAGGCACAGGAATAGCCTAGGTCAGAATCAAGATATCTTCTCAAAGCACAAGCAATACAAAAAGACAGACACACTGAGAAGATTCACACCAACCCCCAACACTCTCCACCAATAGATAAACTTCCAATTTCCATTTACTGGAAACATTTTCAGACAATCACTTCTTACTTCCCACCCTTGGGCAACAAACTGGAATTTCCAGTTAATCTACCCAGGCTAAGCAGGGATGAACTACAGCAGAAAATTCCAGAGCACCATACCTTCAAAATTCATAGCAAACAGCCTCTACCTTACCAGTACTCAACAAAAAATGAGAATTCACTGTACGGCACTGTACACAACCTAGGCGTCAGGTTCAACCCCCAATTATCCTTCCTCCCCCACATCCAGTCCTTCACCAGCACCACTTTCTTCCACCTCCGACACATCACCCATCTCCGCCAATACCTCTCCCCAAAAGCCGCTGAAACCCTGGTCCATACCTTTGTCACCTCTTGACTGGACTACTACGTCCTCCTCTCCAGTCTCCCATTCACTACCATCCATAAAATCCAAATCATTCAAAACTCTGCCGCCCGCATTCTCACCCACATGAAACTCCGCTCCCCGATCACCCCAGTCCTTGCCAGACTGCACTGGCTGCCTATCCCAGAGAGGATCGATTTCAAGATCCTCACCCTTGTATGCAAGTTTCTGCACTCCTCTGCACCCCCCGACCTCTCTGACCTCCTCTCTCCTCAAAACAGTAACTGTTGCCTTTGTTCCTCCGGGTCTGGCCTTCTCCTCATCCCCCGAGTCCTCTGCTCCACCCTCGGCGACCGTGCCTTCAGCCACTGTGCCCCGACACTCTGGAACTGCCTTCCTCACTCCCTCCCCTCCCATTTTCAGGTCTCTGCTGAAGACCTCTCTTTTCGACCGCGCCTTTTGCCACCGCTCCCCCCACCCCTGGCTCGGTCCTGGGATCCGTTACTGTAAAGCGGTCTGCGACGCCATCCAGCATGGAGGGCGCTATATTGTTGTTGTTGCATTTAGACAGCAGCCATGAGTGCTCCCATCGGGTGAGCATCTACCTCATTTCCAGTTTCAGATTTGAGACTTCACCCATCATGTCAGTGATTAGAGGGCACATATTAAAAATGGCTGTCAAACAAGGAAATGGAGGTTGTGAGAAATGGTTTCACTCAGAGCTGTTAGCATAAGGAATGCCCTGCTGGGAGTTGTGGTTGAGGCAGAATCCATACTAACTTTTAAAAGGGAAATAAATAGATATCTAAAAATGAGTGAACTACAATGATACAATAAAAGGCAGGTGAATGGGACTGAAAGTATTGCTCTTTTAAAGTATATTTCTATGGTTGTACCAGAGATCCTGCACACCATCACTATTCAATGACCACACTGAGGGTTATTGTGTGCTTCAAGCTGAGTGTGTGAAAAAGCACTGTTGCAATTCCTACTAAAAACATTCCCCCACACATCTTTAAAGGGTCAGTCTAAAAAAAACAAACACACTGTCACTCCACAGTAAATCCAGTGAAGCGCTTTGACTACAAACAATCACTACACTCCACTTCAGTAAAATCTACGTCAAATATAAGAATTTACAGTCCCAGCTATCCTGATCATAATCAAGAAATCCAACCCAGAACTTTCCTCATCTGCTTGGCTGAGTATCACACCATGTAGTCGATTTATGGTCCAGAAAAGCTTATAATAAAGACTTGCCCAATCCATTAATTTCAACCTCTTATAAAAACTTAAGCTTTCATGTGAAACTGACTTGGTTCATTGTAGCGACTCCCACTAAAATACTCCACCGCTGTCCTCAACAACGATCACCACTGCAAACGTTTAACAGAAACAGAATGCACCCGGCTCCAGAAAAGACATTCTCTGGTGTTCAAAGGGTAATAAGTAGCCTCATTCACTATTCCAAAAGCCTTGCCCAAGCAAGTAAAAAGCATTAGATGCCAAGATACCCCAGGCATCTTTGATGTAGCGCCTTTCACATCAGGAAGACGTCTCAAAGTGCTTCACAGAATATACTGTAGAGCGGCTATTTTGTGTTGCATGCTCCACAGTCCCAATTGAGATCAGTACCCAGTACTCCCAAGGAGTTATTTCTCTCACAGACAAATTTCACCCAACATTTGTGTAGAGGAAGATTTTCAAAATACACAAGTTTTAACGTTTGGAAAAAAATAGGTACAAGTAGAAAATTGTTTTATTTATACAGCAGCTTTCATGTCGGGGTGATGCCTCAGAGTTGACCGTGAGTGAAGAAGTGGTGGACAGTTGGGGGGAGGGGAAGTGGAGAGGGAGAAAGAGACAGAGGGTGGAGGAAGAACTCTGGGATGATTTCCAAATGGGTGTAGAATAGTGAAACAGGCTTGAGGGGCTGAATGGCCTACTTCTATGAAAGCTCATCCATCAATGTACCAATGGTGAAGCAGGGGACAAGAAGCAGATCCACGCTAAGCGGGAGAGTCTGCTGTCAAGATTCCCTGAGCAAGGGGAATTCTCCAGCATGTTATATTTCAGAGGACAAGATATGTCGGGATCACTCACCACAATTGTATTGCCTGCCATCTTCACACAAGGTGATTGGCACCTAAAGAACTGAAATCCCGAACAGCTTAAAGGGGAGAAAATTGGATCGGGGGAGTGGGTGGAAAGGGGGAGGAAGAAATAAAGAAGGAAACCGAGGCAAGGGGTTGCTTGACCTACAGTCCCAATTGAGAGTCCCAAAGGAGGTGGAAAGGATTCATCTCTCACAAAAATGTAAATGGCATTGAAGCAGGTGTTTTGCATGCCTCATCAGCAAAGTAACTATAGCTCAGGGGATAATGGAGTTTACATTAACCGTACTCAAGATTGATAGCATTTTAACTGATGTGAACAAAGATTTGAACATGACTCACTATAGTTAAACACACACTGCAGGCACATGCCTTTAAATTCCAACATCACTTATCCTTCAAAGACAGCTGAACATACTAGGTCAGATTTAGGCAGCAACAGCATTTCAGTGATATTTTAAAACATGTAGATTATTGTTTCACCTCTAATAATGTAAATAGTGTAAAAAAATTTGTGTGGCAGAGCCAATTTTCCAAAGTTGATATTCAGATAAGAGTCAAGGCGTAGGTGTTTTTTCAGACCACATTCTGCATAGTTGTTACTGATCTATCAGAAGGGCATTTACTGTGTAGCATTGCCTAATTGGGTGAACAACAACTCTAACCCCACATGCACCTTTGTAAAACGTTAAGCACGCACTGCCCAGGGAAAACGAAAAAACTTTCTAACAGTAATCCCACTCTAAAGTTAAACTTTCTTCTATGCTACATAAGCATTTGAAGAGAAATGAATAATGGAGAGTAAGCAGGGAAATGTGATTAAGAGTTACACAACTATTGTTTCTCAGCAACTCAGGTGAGCCAGGGAGGGAAAAGTAAATAAATATATAGCCAGGTTTTCCTCGTCATTATTCAGTCACTCCTGCTAGAGGAACAGGCTGGAAGACAATATAGTATCAGTCTTGAATGCAACACGCCTCCTTCCCCTGCAGTCCAGCTGTTTTTGTTCTGGTTAGTAAGGTGTCTGAATCATGAGGAAACCGACCACCATGATTAAAAGTACCCAAATGGTCACACATATGTGGACCACTTACACATTGATGTTTCTGTGCGTCCAGAAATGGAATGGGCACTCTCTCCCTGGAGAGACACATCCTGTTTACCCAATTAGAGGAATATTAGATGCAGGTTGGCAAGAGCCAAAGATTGGGAATCCCGGAGTGTGTGTTGGGTTATTGTAATCGTCTAAAAACAATTTGGATTTACATACGTGCAGGATGGTTGGAGCACTTCAGTGGCAATTGTACACTGAGAATCAGAAGCAATCATAGGCATAGTAAATGAGGTAGCTCTTGAACTGCACAGGTTGCCGTTTGGCAAGCTTCCTGCTACTTGTCTAGCTAAGACCACCCTTTTTGGCTTGCAGGGTTCACAGGAGATAACCTGCAATGTAAGCCAGCCTGGCTCGGGAACCAGAACCAGAATACTGAGACCACCTCAGAGGATTAATTGTACTGATATCCCATTGCCAAGCAAAAAAATTAAGCTAACGGTTTCTCAGAGGAGAGGTGGCTGGCTTAGCTTGCTTAAAATATTAAATAAACACCAATTTTATCTGTCAAAAAGAATATAAAACCTGATTTCCAACCATAAATATAATCCACATTCCCAATTAAAAAGTGGTGCACATTGTTTAATATGGACTCTTTTTTCCCCGGGAATAAGGAAACTGGACACTGCTATTCATCCCTGAACATGAAATTGGGTGGAGGGTCAGGAGAAAACCATATTATCTACTCTGATCACATGGTAAAGTCTCAATTTTCAACAACCCCTCCCCATTAACAAACATGCAATCCTGCTGACACATGGGGCAAAAGCACGTCATTCCATTTACCAACAGTAAAACCCATCTCCCTGCACTTAGGACATCCTCTCAACATGAAAGGCGCTATACAAATGTAATTTTGTTGTTTGTTGTTGTTACACCCACACTCAATTGCCTCATCATGGCTGACTTAAACTATGCCACGGAAGTAGTGCTGCTTGATTTTGTCTGACAATTGTTAGTTAACTATTTAAGACTAACTGTAACCGCTTAACTGAATTTATAGCTATAAGCGGCATTTATTTATTTTAGTGAGGTCCTGAATGTGACCATCTCTAAAAAAGTGACGGAGAATTATTCAGAAACATTGGTGGAGGGGGAGGGGAAGAGGAAAAAGAGGTTCTTTCAGAAGAAAAATACATCAAACACAAGGCAAGTATTAGTTCCAGATGATCCAGTCATTATTTCCTTTTTAGTGTAGATGAAGTGATAAATCAATTCACGCAAAAAGCTAGATCCCTGAAGAGACCCATCTATTAAATATTAGGTGTTTCAAAACTGCAGCTTCAATTGCTGAAAGACTCCTGCTGCTCAGAATATACAAACAAAAGGCTGAGAGGTCAACATTAAAACAGCGATCAGTTCTCCATTAGTGGATGGCTGTTGCAAATCGTTGTGGGTACCAGTACAAGGAATGTGCATGCACATGTGTACAGATGTTATTATATAACTTTAAGAGTTAAGGGAGGAAAACAGTAGAAAATAAACACAGCCTGAGCTTTTTATACAATAAAATCTAAAGCATAAGCTTCGCACCTTGCACACCAAACAGTTCCAAGATTTAGACAAGTTGCGGCAAGATTTAAAAGGTTAAGTGCATTAGCACCCAAAATTTCAGATAAGCCACAAAAAAAGCCACTGGGGCCAGTATTAGTTAACTTCTTGAATCACTAAAAAAAACATGGATTTATATAGCGCCCTCCGCGCCGGACGGTGTCTCAAAATGCTTCACAGTAACTGATCCCAGGACCGAGCCAGGGGGAGGAAGGTGACCAAAGGCGCGGTCGAAAAGATGATTCGAAAGATAAAACCTGATATCCTGTCAGCTTTAGTCCTCATGAGTCAGACTGATCGATCAAACCTATACCATTCACTCACCTACACCAATCCACTGCTGCCATATTAAGTCCAGAGCACACCAATGCCACAATAAGGGAACTGCTGCAAAACAGTATCCAAAGTGGTTGCAAAAGACTGTTGCTCATCATATCAAGTGGTGTTGTTATACATATTACATGCAATCATTCTTTTCAAACAAATTTCACTAATTTATGATTTGTTGTGTACACTTCCTTAAGTTAAATCCTATTGTGCATCTTGCATTTCTTCTTCCTGGGCAATTAACTGCAATAGGTTTTACTGCATCCTCACTTAATTATTGACCTGCATTTGGGAAATTGATAAATCTAACAAACCTGAATAGCCTGTCGACCTTGCTGAGCGTCTGCTAGCAACTGAAGGGTAATTTCTTTGGAGTCCTGTACGGCATCCTGGAGGTAGACAAAACTGTGCCCAACATGACGGCTCATTGTGCATTCTCGACAAATTGGGACTGCGCAGGTATCACAGTACAAACGCATCACCTGGAAGAGAACAGAGAGAAAAAAAAAACTCAGTAACATTCAATGTTCAGAGACTTAACAAGTCTCTATTTAAGTACAACTTTAGCATGCCACAGGAACAAAAAGAACCCTTGTGTTGCTCCAAAATAAAATTAGCACCATTTAGCCCATCGATAAGGTTAAACTTTCATGGTCAGAGGTGCCGTCCTTCGGATGAGACACTAAACTGTGCCTGTTCAGGTGGACATTAAAAATCCTATGGTACTATTCAAGAGAGGGGAAGGGTCAAGAATTCCACACAAATAAAGAGGTTGGATCATTCACTCATCGCTGGTGATTGCTGTGTGCAAATTGGCTGCAAAATAAACAAAATATCTAAAAAAATAAATGGGATGTCTTGACATGACAGTGTTATTTCAAGTTCAAGGATTGTTACATTATAAATTGACAATACAGCTATTCTAATATCTTACTAAAGTAACACTATACAAGCACAACATAAACAAAATTCCAAGCACACAAATGAAGTCTATTATTGGAACTGGTTCCAATAGTAGAGACTGACTGTCCAGCACCTTGGGATGTCCTCCCGACATGAAAGGCTTGCTATCTAAATGTAATTTTGTTGCTGTTGGTTGACACAAAAACTGAATGTAGAGGCTATTGATAGAACTAAACTGGCATTGCAAATTAAAGCCCGTCTCAGCACATAACATTGAGCAATCATTCACAATCTTTATCAGTGTTGACTGTCAGAGCTGTAGTACTGCTCCCTGAACAAGAGGACTTTTAAAACCTTGAGATAGTGAGGAAGTAAAAGCAATTGGCAAAAAAATCTTAGCAATCAGTTGCAAAATGCACATTATGAAACATTCATCTTTTTATTGTCCAAGGTTTCCCCCGACCGCCCCACCCAAAAAGAGAACTGGCAAGGTCTCATCTTGTATCCAGAACCCATGTTGCCTCAGACAAAGATTTCACTGGAATATCCATCCTACACACTATTAAAAAAAAGTAAATAAAGTTGGACTAAGTTATTTACCGACTCATATGTATCCTTTGAAAACCAAGATGCTCAATTCAGAAGTTGACAACATCTGTATATTATTCATGGTACTGAGCAAATACTTTTTGGCGGGAACAAGATGATACGATTCTCTTCTTATTGGTCATGTTTTGTTCTTTGCCTCTTCCCCAATAAGGATGTGAAAAGAAACAGGGCTTCGGTTTGAGTTTCCTTTGACATCCTTATTGAGGAAGCAGGAAAGAACAGGAAGTGGCAGAAATAACAGAAGAATTGCACTGCACTCCCTCAAAACATTTGCTCCATCGATAATTCTGGTCTTGTGCAAACTTGGGAAAATAGTACTTCTCAGAAAGAGATGGATTGTTTCAGTTTCAAAGATGCTTTCTGATAAGTTTATACTTTAGGTTATTCATTTATTTATATCCCAATATCAGCTGTTCAACCTCAGTCAGACAGTTAACACCATAAAATGATCATCAATATTCTAGTTATGGTATTTAAAATACCATAATCCCTGAAAAATTGGCCAGCTAGAATAACCAATTGGTGGAATTAAAGAGATTTATGTTGTCTAATCAATACTTGTTCACGATAAGTACCATCAATAGTCATTGTGGTGATCGTCTGTGGATTCGATTAACACTTTTTGCCCCAAGCACAAAGAAGAAAAATCATCCGCTTTTCTAATTATTTACACTGCAACTTCAGACCCGTTTCATATACTGAATCACTAGTCGTGAGCCAATTAGCTTGGTGATGTTGGATGGAACATTACAGCAAGCACAAAATGTAGTCACACTTCCACCTCAATCTAACCTCGATTACACTCTTCTTTGAGGAACAGAGCAGCTCTAGAAAAAACATGATCACCTACCAGTTTCCAAAGTGAAAACATTGTAATTGTTCATTCAGTTGCAAAATGGCCCCCCAAGTCTATTTCAGTTCAGGATTGCACAACCCAGAACGCATCACACAAGATTTTCTCCCACAGCCAAGGTATATCTGAATTGAAGAAATCAACAAGAGTTGCAGGGCGGGTACAGAGAGAGACATGGATTCCAGCAGCAGAAGCAAACATAGGAATTGATGACTCAGTTGATAACATTTTCCTCACAGGTTAATGCAAACGCCAATTAACCTCAAAACGCAACTATGCCATATGAATTACAATAGAATCTTATTTAGGAAGGCTCCACTACTAAGAAAAATAAGACAGGTCACCGGAAAATGAAGAACAGAGCCCAAAATGTAGTAAACAAAATCACTGGTTGCATTCACTTTGCCATAATGTCAAATGAACAATTTCTAGCTCACAGATTTTATGCTGTTAATTCTCGAGGATATCTTGGAAAACAAAAAGCACTACAAGAGTCTTTCTATTGTTCATGAAAAAAATAATACCTGAATTTTTGGGGTTAGGTTAAATCTACAAAAAGTTCAAAGCACTAAAACTGAAAGACTAAACACAGGTTACTGATGAGCACAAGTCAAAATAACTGATGTCAAAGGAAAGAAAATAGGAAGAACAGCTCTGCCAATTGGAGATTTATTCAGTGCCTTAATTGTAGAACAAAACAAATTCTCAGATTACCTTCTAGTGAAAGTAGGTGCACTCACTGGAAAACATACATGCGTTTCTCCCATTGTTATGTCCACACAACATTTGGTCAAGGAGGGTGACAGCACAAGGTGGGGAGAGGAAGAGAAGGAATCCACCTGCCTTAAGATTGTGCTCAGATGATGAAATTACATTAGGAAATACTGGAACAGTTGCCCCAGAAGCAAAGTTAAGGGGCTCAATAATAAACCACCAAATAAAATAGCTACCTGCAGGCAGCTGTAAGTCAAAGATCAGAATTGTATGTGTGGATCAAACTAAGTCACTATATTTGGCCTTATATAACCTGGACTAAGGAAGATGCCAGGGAGGGAGTCAAGAAAGAATCAATACTATGCTATGTTTTGAATGCAGTCATGGTGTACAAGAGTAAAAGCAAGACTCTCCTCCAACTGTGTGAATACAGTAAATGTAATAGCACTGAAGTAACTCACTTGGACAACTGCCAGCTTAGACTTCCACTGGCAGCATGCTGAATGCGGCAACTGTACTATACTAATTCCTTTTGAATCAGCATATTGGCAAGCATGAAAAGCAACACTAACACTAAACGAATCATGATCAAATGAGCAACTGCTCATTTTTGAGCAGTTCCCACCTGCCTTAAAATGAGCCAAACACTTGTGGGCAACACAACTGAAGAGAGGATGTCTTAACCAGCTCCCTAATGATATCACAAGGGTCCATGCTTATATATGGACATTTCAAACATTTTCATTTAGATCCAGATTTGTGATTAGGAGTACTTCTGTAGCTATACAATTCAAAATAATTGTCACACAGATTTATCAGATGTAATGAGAGTTAGCAGTAGGTCAAACTTTTGTGGAAGGGAAGAGATACAAGCTTAAGCCAATAATCAGCACATTTTCCACTTCACCAGAAGCGATCCCTAACCTTTCAAAACGTTTATTAAAAAAAGCAAAAGGCTTTATCCCAACAAACTGTCAAATACAAGATGACCTGCACGATATTTAAAAAATATCCCATATTTACACACTTTGGGAAATTTCTATTGGTAAGTTTCAGTATTAATGATTCCAATACAAAGCCAATGTTGAGCAGTCAGACCTTTCCAAATGAATATTTGCCAATAAATCACTAAAGCAATAAAAACTCTTAAAATGCACAAGATATCAGCACTTTGTCTTTATGAAGGGCATATGTAACAAAAACAATTTTGGTCTAATAGTCACTTGAAACGATTCACTATATAAAGTACTTGAGGATCAAGATCGGAAACAATATTGAATGAAAGAGCTGTAATCAAGTGATTACAGCATGAGTCACTGGCAGCATGAGTGAATGGTTCTAGTTTCCATTTAGCCCAATCAAACTTGTTATTCCATCACATTTTAAAGCCCAACCATATAGGAAACCATTTCAGACAACCATAGCTGTTATAATGTGCATGGTTTAAATTCTGCAATTATAACATTTCACCTCAGCTTTTAAGAGCAGAACTTCCTGGGTCACAGCTCATTCCACCCACTTAAGACATTTAAAATGTCAATCCTAAAAGAAGCCGATACTATCTGGTTTTAATTAAAATTGTCAAGTTGGTAAAACCCTGAAACTGCAAATCCCCACAATTGTGTTGCAATTATATTTTCCTCAAATTATGTAGTAGCTGAAACCGTGTCAGGAGGAATTTCGAGCCAACCATGAAGGTTGAACTTCTTAAAACAAAATTCACATATCACACAAAATTGTGAATTCTGCAATTAAACCAGTGTTTGAAATCATATATTTGGTGCACACATATGTTTTTCGGAAGGAGGGGGGAGAGGGGGAAGGAAGAAAGATAGATACTAATTATAAGTTAACTAATGAGCACAAGCTGTACAATTAGAAAGTCTGCAATATCCTGAATATCTGTTAGCTACAATGGGGTTGAAAAGTCTAGAATGCAGTAAAGTGCAACATACTGGCTTGCGAATCCTTTTTTGACTAAAATCAAAATGTCCAATGCCAGGAAGGAAATGGGCTTTGCTGGATTTCAGCATCTCCTGTCTTCAAAGAAAATCTGCATTTGAATTTGGTAGCAAACTGCAGAATTTCACTCACAAAGCCGGTGTAATTTGAATAGCAATTTCCAATTTTGCAAATGCCACATTTCTCATCCACTATGTATTTGGAGAATTCTGCTCGTTGGTACAGATTGAATGAAGTCCATTGGAAAACAAACATTTTACAAATTACAGGTTTAAGAATAGTTTGTGAAAGTATATAAGTTTACTGGACTGTACTGGAATTTATTGAACCAACCCGCCTCTTTTTAATACAAGACATACTTTCTATATTCTGCATTGTATAAATAATACTCCCATTAAGCCAATGACATCTCAAGAGTTAGAAAAGATAGCCAATTAGATG